TATATATATATATATATATATATACTTCAAAATGCAATTGATGAACCTAATTATGTTTATAATTACAAAAAGAATCAATGTTAATTTAGTTAGTACCTGCAGGAAGGAGTCCTCATTATAAAATGAATTATTCACTATGTTTTCTTCACAATAAGTTGTGTCATTACTACTTGTAGTACTGTTCGTCCCCGTTTCTTCTTCGCTGCATGGTTCGCTGTTCTTCGCGAATCTCCCACGAATTCTGACGCGCTTGTCCGCTAGCGTTTTCCGACATGCATACTGATCAAAACCCAATATACACTTCAAATGTATACAATATCCACTAGTATAATATATAAGAAAAACTATTTTTTTTTAAATAAAGGATTTTGGCCTAACTAACTAATTAACTCGAAGAGTGAGTTTAACTTTGAAGATTAACAAGATAATTAACAAATTAAATATATAAATTACCTTGATGGTCTTGTTAAAATTCCTCTGGTTTCTTTTCTTTAGGTATCTGAGAATTCTGTCCTTCCTTTCTTCAACCGAATACCTTCCCACCTTCACCTCCGTCGTCGTCTCGGCTTCGACTTTCGTAACTGCTTTCCCTTGTATTATCCCCTGGAAAATAAATAAATTATATATATTGAAAAATTGAACTAATTAGCAACTGCATTAAAATGAATGTGAAAATTAATGAAGCATAAAAAACAAATAAAATTAAAAAAAAATACCCAATTTTCAGCAGCTGCAGGAATATTATTGAAGTTAGGCACAAGTCCACTGCACAGATTTTCTGCTGGATCAAACACTTGATGTACTAATTGTCCATAATCACAAACTGCAAAATTATCAGAAAAACCCGAATCGAATTCCGACATTTGCGGAACTTCCCCAAACTGCGAAGCCGCTGCAGAAACCGGTGAATTTGTATGATCATAGTTCAATATTGATGGAACCATGCCGTCGATCGTTTTTGCTCGATTATCGTCTAATAATTTGCCGAAGAATTCGTCGGAGAGGGAATAATTATTGTAGCTAGAGCAATATTGATGAGGGATTGAGGCATCCATAATTAATATTATTAGATTAATTCTAGAAAATTGGAAGTAATTTATATATAATAATAGTGAGTGAGTATTTTCTTATGGAGTAACAAGCTTGTACTATATATAGCATCGACAAGTTGCTATAAATAATTGGCTACGCTGGCGCCTTTTCATTTTCCTCTCTGATATGTCTAATAGGCCCAATCCAATCGGCTTACAAATTATTTATCTACTGGCTCACGGGCCCAATATTGAAAACCACTATCACCGAGGCCCAATCATCTTCAAATAAGGTTTGGGCCCACAATCTCAATTAAGCTATAAATAAATATTTGAACTCATTCCTATTAACTGAACATGTATTCTCTGAACTATTTCCACTATCAGCAAAAATGACTTGAGCGTCGGAGGGGTTTCCGTCGGATCAACCTCCGGCCTAGTTCACGTGTTCTATGATCGCAAGTATCTCAAGGTCATCAAGCTCGTGAGCCAGTGATCCACTCTGCTCTTCCAGCTCATCCTACTTCAACTTAGACCTGACCACGGTTCGGTTCGGTTCCGGTTCCGGTTCCGAACCGCCGGTTCCGGTTCCGCTTTTGGAGGAACTGGAACCGAACCGAAAAAATCCAGTTCCTTGCGGTTCGATTCCTAACCGGATCCGGTTCG